ATCAAAGCCTAACAGGGGCAGACAGAAGGATCAATTACACCAATCAAGACACGATTTGTGATAATGGACTTGAGGGTTGATACCGTTTTAAGGGAGCAGCCGGCACAAGAATGCCTACCTCATGTCCTCCCAAATACCGATGTGACTCCCATGTACCCGCTTGGGCTAATAGTACGCATCCCGCAGAGGCTGATGGTCAGGTCACCAGGACGGTCTGCTTCCACTGGTTGTCAGACTGCTGCTACAAGTCAATTTCCATCAAAGTGATAAACTGCGGCGGTTACTATGTTTACTGCATAAATGGTACACCTTGGTGTTCCTTCCGTTATTGCAGCACAGACTAAATAGATACTAGTTTAGAAAAATTATCGGTTTTTTTAAGGGTGTTCTCGTTAAAAATGCTTACAGTCCACTGCATTAATGCTTTAGTATTTGTCCCAGGTAGAACGCGAGGTTTGATGGTTATATTTGCCTTCCTTTGTCGGAGTAAAATAATGTTCTCTCACTATTGTAAAAGTTTTTCAGAAATTTGGAAACGTAAGTGATGAAGAAGTGAGATATTCGAAATTAAAAGACAAATTATAAGCATTCTCATCTCTTTGGTTCCAGGCGGAATTTTCGGCAGAGGGGTTAAAGAGGGTCTTAATAGGGTTAACCGTTATACGTAAAACGGACTATAAATTCAGCTGGTGAGCGTAACAATTGAAAAATTTTAACTGTTCCTCGAAAAAAAATCAACCTTAAAAACTTTTTCTTGTGACCATAATGAAAAGACGTGAACGGCTTGCGTAAATTGGCCACAATTGTAACCGTCAACCGTAGAGGCATCAGCCTATTGAAACCCTCATGAAATGATTCTCTTAAGGTTCTTGGAGCCTTATAATGACTTTAAAGGGGCGACTTCGCACTGAAAAGTTAAAAGTGTGGGATATCAGGAAGTAGACAGATACATGCAGGGCCTAATGTTAAGAACAACATTGTCTTTAATGACATTGTGATGGTTCATTCTAATGCTAAGTTACTTAACCACAAAATTCACCCAGCAATTTTTGTTCAGTTAGCTAGAGAAACACTCAAAATAAGTTTAGGTTAAGTTTACCTGAGTACAAAACTATTTTTCGCATTTTAAAGGTGCTAAGGACTATTCTAGTCTTTCTGGTCATATTAAGAGTATTGAGAATTTGACTTTAACTTTCATTTCTTAAACCACAATTCAAATAAGATTTCACGTTTAGGTGATCAACCACCCCACCACGTGATCTCACTTGTGATTCTCTCTCGATTCTAGCATATGAACTTGTTTCATTAATACCAGTTATACATTTTATCAATACCAGTTATACATTTTCGTAGTATAGGTAATTTATTATCATCTTATTGCTCTAAATTATTGTGCTTGTCAGCGTCTTTTCCTTTGTATATATTTTCATCCAACATCTTTANCAAATTGTACAAAGAAATAAGATCTACTGATGATGAAATTGCTCTCCAGATGGACTTAAATAATATCGGATCTTGGTCCACAGAATCGGGCTTAGAATTTAATGAGACGAAAAGCCACCACCAGTCCATCACACGTAAAATCATGAACTTGAACTTTGAACTTTATTTATTTCACACTATCAAACGAAGTTAATGTACATTGAAAAATAAGAGAAAGAGGGAAGAATAATAGTAATATTTGGCTATAAAGATAAGTTTGAGAGGTGCGCGGTGTCCAAAGTAGCAAAGGCTTTCTAGTTGGACACCGTAATGGTCATATAAATAGATAAATGGATAGCGGTGACATAATTTCCTCTGATTGACTTTGATCTAAGCTTAATATCCTATCCTATCTCAGAAATATCGTCAGAGTATGACCTGTGACAAGGCCATTCGCTCTGCAACTTTGGCGCCAAATTTAAGTGTTAACGTCAGATTTCTTGCCCCCCCTCCCCCCCTTCCATTGACTGATCCATTTCAGTCTTGACTTGTCCGTTTTACTGTTGTATTTTGCAATTCGGCGCGCAAAGTAGGCTGTTTTGTTTCGTGTCACGATAAATCAGCTTTGATTTCGTTCAATCATTTCCAATTAGTTGACCAATCCTTCATTGACTGAACAGCTCAACAGAGCACTTGACTGTTTGCTGTCATACCTGATCATTCTTTGTATCGTAATCAGATGGCTTCTCATCTAACCAAACTGATTCTTATTAGTTTGTTCCATCTTAATATCGGTGACCGCTCCATTTCTAAAATTGTTTAAAAACATTTAGTGCTTGAGCAGACCATTCAACACAAAAACACCTATCTTGTTGTCGTTAGACAAGCATTTCTCAATCATTTATTCCATTTCGCAAACCATCACTAAACCATTTAAGTTTGGTATGTACCGTTTAATAATCTTGTATTTTTGGTGGTGACGGCCGCCCATACATTCAGGCACACCAACGTGTGCAAACTGTGGGAAACCGGGAGGCCGGCAAACCGTGATAGAATCAAGTCTTGTTCAGTGCTATTTTAATTACAAACCGCAAATGGAACAGCGTAATGTAGAATGGCACAGCGTACATACAAACAGTGTAGCGTTGCGTGAAATGGCTCAGCGTGATGTCGCATGGCACAGCGTACACACGAATGGTGTAGCGTTACGTCACTAAACCGTTTGTGTGTACGCTGTACCATTCCACATTACGCTGAGCTATTTCACGCAACGCTACGCTGTTTGTATGTACGCTGTACCATTTGACATTATGCCGTACCATTTGACATTACGCTGAGCCATTTCGCACAACGCTACACCATTTGTGTGTACGCTGTACCATTCCACATTACGCTGAGCCTTTTCACGCAAGGCTACACTGTTTGTATGTACGATGTACCATTCGACATTATGCTGAGCCATTTTACCTAAAGCTACACCGTTTGTGCGTACGCTGTGCTACTCCATATTATCCTGAGTCATTTGACGCAAAGCTACACCGTTTGTGTACTGTATTGCATATGAGTGCTAGACTATTTGCAATTTAGCTGGTCCATTTCACAATTTCATGTTCCAACTCGACATGGGCAACTAGACCGTTTATCATTTGGCTAAACTATTTATGTTTAGGCTGTTCTATTTCATGAAGGAAACCTAGACTGTCTATAATTTGGCCATGCCATTCCTTTATTAGCTATGCTATCCTGCAGCTGATCCTTAAACCATCTTTGTATTTACT